AATTAATAAATATTTATATCTGATTTAAAATAAAATTAAAATTTAAAGAAAAAAAAAAAAAAAAAAAAAAATATAAATAAATATTTAGGAAAATGCAGCGTGATAATAAAAAATATATCAAATATTTTGGAAAATGTAGTGTGATAATAAAAAAAATCAATTATAATATATAATATACAAGTAATTAAAAAGTTGATTAAGTATTTTGGATCATACAGATATCAAAACTATTATTTAGCATAAAAAATATCAAGTAATATTTAGCATTTAAATATTTATTTAGCATTTAAACATATCAAGTTTTATTTATCATTAAAAAATATCAAGTATTATTTTGCATTTAAATTATCAAGTAATATGGATGATATAAAAATATCAATTATTATTTAGCATTTAAAAAATCAAATATTTATTTAGCATTTAAACATATCAAGTATTATTTATCATTTAAAAATATCAAAGTATTATTTATCATTAAAAAATTTCAAGAATTATTAAGCATTTAAAAAATATCCAGTATTATTAAGCATTTAAAAAATATCAAGCAATATTTAGCATTTAAAATACCAAATATTTATTTAGCATTTAAACATATCAAGTTTTATTTATCATTAAAAAATATCAAGTATTATTTATCTTTTAAAAATATAAAGTATTATTTATCATTAAAAAATATTAAATATTATTTATCATTCAATTAAGTTTTCAATCAATTATCTTGTGTTTTTTATTGAATGTAATGATTATTGGTAAGTATTATTGATAAAATAAAAAGTAATATGATTCATACAAAAATATCAAGTAATATGGATCATGCAAAAGTATCAAATATTTAGCATTTATAAAATAAAAAGTATTATGGATCATAAAAAATATCAAATATTATATAGCATTTAAAAAATACTAAGTAATATGGATCACACAAAAATATCAAGTATAGAAATCAAATTTGAAAGAAATAGAATATAAATATAGATAAAAATAAAAATAAACATATCAACTATTTTGTAACATCCAAATATATCAAGGAATATTTAGCAGCACCAACAAGAAACAAGTGCTTTAAAAAATTTTTAGCTTTGTCAAGTCAAATTTTAGCTTTGTCAAGTCAAATTTTAGCTTTGTCAAGTCAAATTTCCATTACATTTATTTGTTTGTTTTTTTATTCACCCACTACATTTATTTGTTATTTTAATTATTCACCCATTACATTTCATTTCATTCTATTATCAATATGGTGCTTAATTATGTATTCTGCGTGGTGGGATACACAATTAACCATTCAGCTCTAATATACTCTCCCACTACATTTATTTGTTGTTTTAATTATTCACCTATTACATTTCATTTCATTCTATTATCAAATATAGTGGTTAATTATGTATTCTGCGTGGTGGGATACATAATTAACCATTCGCCTCTAATATACTTACCTCCACGTGGGTTTAATCATTCAAGAATATCAAGATTTATTGTATAGAAATTATAGTATAAGTATTTTATTGGATTATTTAAAAATACCAATTATTGTGAAGCATTCAAAATATATCAAATATTATGGAACATTAAAAATATCAATTATTATTGCATATAAAAATATAAACTATTGTGTCTCATTAAAATATATTTTATTTACTAAAAAATATCAGCTATTATGATAATTAAAATATATCAAGGATTATTTAGCATTTAATTATTAAAATTCAACTATAGTTTTTTTATTTATTTTGATAAAATTGTAACATTCAAAACATCAGATATTATGGATCATTAAAAATATCAAGTATTATATAGCATATAAAAATATAAACTATTTGTCTCATTAAAATATATCAAGGATTATTTAGCATTTAATTATTATAATTCAACTATCTTTTTTTTTATTTTGATATACCATAATTTTATAAAATTTATAATCATTATACACATTCAAGTGGATTGGATCATTCAATAATATCAAGATTTATTGTATAATGATTATAATATTAGTATTTTATTGGATCATTAAAAAATATCAATTATTATGTAACATTCAAATTATATCAAATATTATGGATCATTAAATATAAAAATATCAAGTATTATGTATCTTTAAATATCAAATATTATTTGGAATACAAAAATATCAACGATTATTTAGGATTAAAAATAATAAGCATTATATAGTATTTAAACATATCAAGTGGAATTATAACTATTCAAAAACATCCAATATCAAGGATTATTTAACATTTAAACATATCAAATACTATTTAAAATTAAATATATCAAATCAACTCCCAATAGGTATTTTGATTACATAGATACTGAGTTGGGCCCGCTTGGTATCTATGTATTTGAAATTTACCTAATTTTCAATGTGGTGGTTAATTGTGTATTCTGTGTGGTGGAATACATAATTAAACACAAATTTTCAATTTGATTATTTATACTGCCTGAAGGTATAAATAATTAACCATTGGCTCTAATATACTAACTTCCCCGTGTTAGAGCTGGAAACACTCTTTACAAAGAGTGGCTAATAGTATAAATAAAATTTAAATAAAATAAATAAAATAAATATAATAATGGTATTTTTATTATCTTTAAAAATTATAAAATCTTTAATTTTTTTTTAATTTTTTGGGCATTATTTTTTTTCAAGTTTAATAATTAAACTGAAAATAACGATAATTTTTAATCAATAAAACAAAGGGTAAAAAATAAAAATGGAAAAAAAAATTAAAAATAATCTAAATTTCGTATTTATAAAAATATCTTTTAAAAAAATTTTGGGTGGTGAGGAAAAATAAAATATTATAGCTACTATTATTTATATTAATATTTATAATATAAATATTTATTAATTTTTTGTTTAAAAAATAAAATGAATTTTTTTTTCTATATTTAAATATTTTTAAATTTATCGCATGCATCTACAAGAGCACTTAAGTTTCCAGCCTCTGCCATTGAATGACCAGCATCTGGTGTAATGATTAAATCAACATTATCACCCCAAACTTTCTTTAAGTCCCAAGCAGTTTTAATTGGGCAAACAACATCGTAACGACCGTGAACGATAACACCTGGAATGTTTTTGAGGATATGAGCATCGTTAATTAATTGACCATCCTCTATAATGATTTAATTAAAATTTATAAAAGAAAAAAAAAAAAAAAAAAAAAAAAAAAAATTAATATTATTTTTATTTTTTAAACCAACAATATAAACTATTATTTTATAATTACCTCTAAAGAAACCGGCATTAACAAAGTAATGATTTTCGATTCTAGCAAAAGCTAAAGCAAATTTAGGATCTTCAGTTGCTTTGGCGATTTTTTTTGGATCGACTATTAATTTGGAAGTTGCCATTTCCCTGTAAATAATTAAAATTTGGTTAATATTGATGTAAAATAGTATTAAAATAAATTAATTGTTAAAATATAACACATACCATTTAGACCAAGCCATAGCACATTCTAACATTACTTTTTCATCTTTACCAGTTAATCTACGGTGATAAGCAGAGATAAGATCGTGTCTTTCGGCTAATGGAATTGGTTTAACATATTCATCAAAGAAGTCTGGGAATAAGAAGCTAGTACCTTGTTGATAGAAAAAGATTAATTCTTCTCTTCTTAAAGTAAAGATACCACGTAAGATTAAAGCTTTAACACGAGATGGATGAGTTTGGGCATATGCAAGTGATAAAGTTGAACCCCATGAACCACCAAATACAACCCATTTATTAATGTCTAATAATACTCTAATCTTTTCCATATCTTCGACTAATGACCAGGTATCATTTTCATCTAAACATGCAAATGGAGTGGATTTGCCACAACCACGTTGATCAAACATGATGATTCTGTATGCTTGTGGATCAAAATATTGACGATAGAAATCTTCACAACCACCACCTGGACCACCATGGACTACAATAACTGGATTTCCTTCTGGATTACCTGATTCTTCTAAATAAACTGTATGAATATCTGAAACTTTTAAAAATTGAGTTTTATATGGTTCAATTGGTGGATATAAAGTTCTTGGATATTTTAAAACACTCTTTTTATCGGATTGCTCGTCTAAAATTTGTGAATATTTTTCGGAAATTAATTCGTTTGACATTTTGTTATAATTGTATTAATAAATGAATGTTAATATAAAAAAAAAAAAATTGGAAATTGAAAAAGAAAAAATATCAAAAAAAAAATTTAAAAAAAAAAATGAAATTATAAAAAAAATAATATTTTAATTTTTTTTATTTTTATTTTTTTTTCATCAAACCTGGGTTTTTTATACCAAATTTCCTATTTTAATAAAATAAATAAAGTAGAAAAAGTAATACATTTAAAGTATACTTTTAAAGTTAAGTTTTTGTTAATCTTCAGGATAAAACATATTTATTTATTTTTTAAAATTTTTTTTTTTTTTTTTTTTTTTTCAATTTTTTTTTTTTTTTTTTAAAAATATTTTTTTTTTTAATTTTTTTTTAAATTAATTTAAATTCAACATAATGGATATTGTGATCGAAATTGGTGGTAGATATACCAAAGTCGGATATTCTCCTGAAACCTCCCCAAGATTTATAGTACCAACTAATTTATTACCATTAGATATCTCAATATGGTTATCAAGTGGCACTTCAATTGACAAGATCAATAATGCAAACAATAAAATTCAAAAAATACCAACATCAATACAACTAAAAGAATCACTCTATACATTTTTTAAATCACTGTTTTTAAAGTAACTATACAATTCACACTCATTAAAATAATATCCAAGATCATTTTTATATTAACCCATTTATAAATTAGCTATTTATTATGTAAAGCAGATGAAAGAAAAATTATAATTGTCGAAAATTTGTTTTTACCAAGATTATTTAGAGAAAGTTTAGTATCAGTATTATTCGAACAATTTAGGGTACCAATGATTGTATTTATTAATCCAACAGCATCAATGATCCCAACACTAAGAACCACATCACTTATAATAGATATTGGTTATTCAGAAACTAGAGTTTTACCAATTTATGAAGGCATAGGTGTTTTAAAATCATTAGAGACAATTACATTGGGTTCAGAAACTTTAATTAGAGAATTAAAAAAAACATTATTATTGGATCACAACGGAATTTTAGTAAATAATGAAAATGGGTCGATTATAAACGATCAACAATTAACAATCGATACAATAAATAATATTAGTGAATCTACATTTGAAGATATTTTGACGAGATGTCTCGTATGCTCCTATACACAAAAACAAGAGAGCTCGGCAACCACCCTTCAAGACATTAAATTTAGATTAACAAAGCAACTATCAATAATTATTAAATCATCGATCAGACTACACTTAATAGATAGATTATATAGATCCACAACCACACAGGAAGATTTAAACAACGAAGATCAAATTCAAGAAACTTTTGAAGAAGGAAATATTGCATCAACTATTTTAGACTGTTTAGTGAAATGTGAACATGACCAACGTAAACCATTATCACACAACATCTTATTATTGGGTGGCACTACAATGATACCAGGTTTTAAGCGTAAATTAGTAATAGAATTAAATAAACAAATTAAAGATAATAAACACTATAATGATCAAGTTGGTGGTTTAATAGGCCATTTCGATTTCGTTCAACATCCATTTGGAAATAATTATTTGGCTTGGTTAGGTGGTTCAATTTTAGCAAATACCATTGAACACATTTATAGTAAAATCACCTTGGATCAATATTTAGCTGCTCCTTCTTTATTCAAACGTAATCAATTAATACCTGAATGGGAAAAGCTTTCAAATATTAACAACTATACTCAAATCGCTCAAACAACCATTGGTACTACAATTAATCCATTACAATTCTCAACAACATCTTCATTATTTTCACCCTTTACATCATCCTCTGACCTATCATCGCATTTAAATAAAGATTAAAAATAATATATAGAATTATATTTATTATTTATACTTTTAATTTTTTATTTTTTTGTTTAGTTTTATTATAAAAAAAACTATTATTGGTTTTATTAGAAAAAAATAAAAATCTATTTTGTTTGGTCTAAAAAACCTTTATTTTAATTTATTTTAAATATTTAAAAACATATATAGAAAATAATTTATTTCCGCATATAAAAAATATAATAGTTTTTTTTTTTTTTTTTTACCAATTAACAAAATACCCTTTTAATATTTGAAATTTCAAAAAAAATCATAACTTTTAATCCATTATAGACGATTATTTTGATATATGTTCAGATTTAATAAATAATTTCTAAATTTGGTAATTTCAAATAAATAAAAATTGGTTTTTTTTATTTTTTAAATTATTTTTATTTCTTTTATTTAAATTAAAGAAAAAAAAAAAAAAAAAAAAAGATATAAAAAGAAGAAGAATTCCAAACCATTTCATATTTAATAAAATAATAACAAATAATAATAATAACAAATAATGATAACAATAACATAAAATAATAATAATATTAATAATAATAATAATAACAACAAATAATAAAAATAATAACAAATAACAATAGAGATGCAAATATTTAATTTAAAAAATAATAACTATTTATTTAAAATGGATTAATAAAAATAAATAATTAATTAAATAATATAAATATATTATTTCTTTATTTCTTTTTTTTTTTTTTTTTTAATTTTAACTTTTTTTTTTTTAAAAAAATAATTTTCAAAAGAAAAATATAAAAGAGGTTTAGTAGGAAAATAGATCCTCCATACAAATTCCAAAAACTAATAATTTTTTTTTTTTAAAATTATGTTACAAATTTTTTTTTTTCTTAATTTATCACTACTTAATTATACCTCTTTTATTTTTTCTTTAAACCACCTCCAAACTTAAAAAACACCATTTTTTTTTTTTTTTTTCTAAAACTAATTTAAGTTTATGTTTTGCTCCATAATTAAGTTTGGGAAAGAAATAAAAAATAATAAAATAAATAATAAATAATAAATATAATAGTATAATAATTAATAATTTTGTTTTTGTAACTAAGTACTTGGTTTTATTATAAAAGGTAAGTATTCTTGATATCAATTGGTTCCTGGGATTGCGCAATCACCTACTCTACAGTCTGGCCGTGTACTCTTTGGGCTTTCACTTTTAATGGAGCTGCTCCTGCTGTCTGTTGTCTTTCTTACTTGAATATGAGGATTAACTTTTATTGGATAAGAAAAAAAGGTAATTATTAATATTTAATGTCTTATAAAACTATAAAGACTAATTTAACTTAATTAAAAAAAAAGCTTGGATCAAATAAAAAGAGTGTATCTAAATAATATTTACTTCGGATGAGTAATAGTAACAGATATTAACAAAAAAGAAATATTTATTGATAGCGCCATGGAAAATATCGGTATGGATCCTCCTCAATTTTTGGAAATAGTTTATTCAACGAAATTGGAAAACAGATACTAACAAGTATGAGAATTTTTGTGAATAAATGGTATGGATATCAAACAACAAATTATAATGGAAATAGTGTTACCAAATTTTTACCAGCTAATCAGATACTGACAATACTATAGAATGATTTTATGTACTTTGTAAATTATAAAATGTGGTTTTTTTTTTTTTTTTGTTTTTTTAAGTTGTTCAAAAAATTAAGTTAAAATTCGATTTTATGACATGTCATAACTACTTAAAATTCCATTTTTTATATTTAAAATTCCCATTAAATTGTTGATTTTTTTTTTTTTTAACCCCATCGTGGTTTGTGTGGAAACTTAAAATTTTTTTTTTTTTTTTTTCAAAAACTTAAAAAAATAATAAACTTAAAACTTTTTTATTTTAAAAAAAATCAATTTAAAAATTTTTTTTTTTTTTTTTTTTTTATATCAAAACATAAACAATTACAAAATATTTTTATAAAGAAGTTTACAAAAAAAAAAATATGTTCGCTCATCATCACCCCTATAACTTTGGTCCAAAAAGAATAATAGAAGTCCAAAAGGACTCCCAACAAATTGTACCCAATTCAACTATTCCATATGTAGAACCACATAATTTTCAGCAACAAAATAAAACTATACAACCACTACCCTCTTTTTTTGAACTATATTCACAATATAATGGCCAACAAAATAATACATCTAATTTACAACCCAATACAATAAAAAATATACACCCACAAAACAATCCTCAAAAACAAAATTTAGAATTACCACAAAGAAATGAATCATCTTTTTTAGAACCAAAAACTTTTATATCTGAATGTCGAAAGTATATTAACATAGAGCTAGAACTAGCCGGTGTGAATAAAAGTAATATTTCAATTTCTTTTAAAGATTCTATTCTAATAATTATGGCAAAAAAGAATTTATCTTATCAAAATTTTAATGGGACTTTTTATCGAAACCCTCGATCACTTGGGACATATAAAAGAATCTTAAAAATTGGAGTAAATGCAATAGATAGAAACTCTATTAAAAGCAGTTTTATTGACAATGTTTTAATTTTAAGAATTAATAAAGAAATATCTAATAAAGAAATATCTGGGCCTTCTAATATTTCTGAAGTCCCACTCTTTAATAATTAATCCTAAAATTATAAATTTAAACCAACCCTTGTATTTTTAAAAAGATATTTCGAATATCGAATAAAAATTTTAAAACCCAAAAAAATTATTCAATTGATATTGTTTTAAATGTGTTTTATTTTTACTTTTCTAAAAAATATATAATAAAATAAATAAATCTAAAAAAATTAAATAAATTGAAACATATTTTTTTAAATAATTATTATTACAAAAATATATTTTTTTTTTTTTATTAAAATTTTGGTTTAAAAAATTTAAGCCATGAAAAGTTTATTTAAAAGATGGATGGTCATGTTGACATCTAAAGTAATTTGGTCAAGCTCTAAAGTGGTGGTTCCAATTGAGTTTAATTCTAAGAGATCATCTAATTCTAATCTCATAGTTTGAACATCGATACCGGCCATCTTAGCAGAAACATCAAAGACACCAACTGTATCAGAAGAGATGACGAACTTGATCTTCTTTCTGGTCATTTGTGGTACTTCAGAGTCTACGATGACACCTTTTTTGTGGAGTTCTGAGAATGAGAATTTGAATGGACCGACTTTGGCACCATCTCCCTTCTTCTTCTTTTTGTTTTTGTTTTGATAATGTTTGAGACGACAATCTTGAAGATATTGATTGTATTGAGCAATTTGTTCATTAAGGTATTTTTGATGTTTACGAAGATTGTTTAATGAGGTGGTTAATCTTTGTTTTTCTTTCTTTTGTTGTTCACGAATTTCAGCACGATTAACGACTTCGAGAGCAACAGCCTTTAAGAATGAAGCATAGTTATCAGCAGCAGTGGTAAGGTTGTATTCTTCGAGTTTTTTGAGGTTGTCTAAAATCTTTTTAATTTCTGGTTCTAAAGATGGATCAGATTGACGAGCTCTGTTTAATACATCTACAAGATTTGGTGGTTCATCAGTTTGATCTTTTTGTTCTGGAAGAGTTGGAAGGGCTCTGAGTAATGAAATAACCATTTCTTTTGTTTGTGAGAGTAAGCTTTCACCTGGTGATAATTCTTCTTCAATAGTTTTTTGGAATTTATTGGAGAGAGTTAATTGAACTTCACGGTCATCATCAGCAGCAATTTCTGGTGGTGGGCCAAATTCGTCGAGTTCTTTCATGATGATTCTCATTGGGTCATCTTTTTCACCTTTACCAACAAGTGAATCTAAATGTTTGGAGATTAATTGATGGGTTGATGAAATTTCTGGAAGTGAAATGATAATAACTGGTTTGGTTTTTTGGGTGAGTTCCATGTATTTATCAACTTGGAGGTAATCTTCTGGTTCACCAACTTCGATAATTTCTTCGAGATAACGTTTAATTTCACCAATGTGTGATGAAATCCAACCATTTAATGGAACGAAATGTTTTTCAGAAGCACCGAATTGGGCAAAATTGAAAAGAGCTTGTAAGACTTTAGAGACATTGATTAAATTCTTACGAGCAGTTGGGTGAATTTCACGACCAACTAAATCGTATTCCTCTGGTGAAACCATAGCGACTTGGATGAAACGATAGTAAATAAAGTAACCAATAACTTTGAGAATTTCATCTTGAGTACTCTTGGTGAAGTTCTTTTCAGCAATTTGGTGAATTTGTTTACAGATCCAACGAATACCATATGGTAAACGATTTAATGATGAAATGATACCATCAAGGAATTGATCACAAATTGAAACTAATTGTTCAACACGAGCCTTAATAGTCTTGGTAACTTCTGGAACTTCAAGAGCTTTATCATCAGAAACATTTCTATCTAAGGTACTCTTTTCACCAGTTCTAATTTCTTGTTCGGAGATAATGGCGGCATAAACAGCACTTGGTTTTAATTCAAGATTTAAATCTTGTTTAATAACATTGGATAAAATTGGACCAATAACAGCCTTTAAGTAGTCAGTACCTTGTTTACGTCTATAAAAAAAAAAAAATTAATAAAATATTTTTTAAAAAAAAAAATTTATAAAAAAAAAAAATTTTACTTACTTGTTATAAGTAATAATCATTTTTGGTACGACAGTATCAGCTTTTAAGAAATCACCAACAGTTGCAATATTTGCCATTTCTTTTTGAATTGAAAGTCTGTATAATGAAAGTAAAAGGAACTCTTCTCTTGGAGTGAAAGCATCACCAAATAAGGTTAAAATAACAGTACCTAAGAAGGACTCCATTTGCTCTGGTTGGATGAGGTAAACTAAACCGGCTAAATATTTTGGTTCAGTTTGAAGTAAATAGAAGAGATTTTGATAGGCTTCTAATTTCTTTGGATCGTTGAATAACTCTGGTTTTTGGGCAGTACCTTTGTGCTTTTGTGCCTTTAAACCAGCTTTATCAGCTAATACATCTTGAATATTACCACGATTCTTAATTAAAAGAGCAATTCTTTTATCAAGACGATTAAGATCTCTTTCTAAAGTGTGGTTTCTTCTGACTTCACTGACTAAATTACGTTTTAATTCTTGAATTTCTGTATTTTTTTAAAAAAAAAAAAAAAATAAAAAAAAAATTAATTAGTATAAGATTTGGTGAGTTATAAAAATATATTATATTATAATATTTACCAGCAATCCAATCAGATTCTTTATCTTCTCTTTGTGAATGAAGTAAGTTTTGAATTTCAAAGACTGAAAGATTACCAGAAAGGAATCTATCCATTTTGAATCTGTAATACATCATATCTCTAAGAATTCTACGGGATTGTAAGAGGAGAACTAAACATTCACGCATAACTGGGAATGGTACAGAGTAATCTTCATCTTCTTTTAAGAATTTACGTTCTGGTACAACAATTTCTGGTGTGTCATCTTCTTCTTCGTGTTCGTTATTGTTTTCAACTTGCTCTTCTGATTCAGAATCAGAAATATCTGAATATTCTTCTTTATTCATATTTTTGATGTTGATATAAAAATTAACAAATAATAATACAACACAAAAAAAAAATTAAAAAAATAATATGATTTTTTTTTTAAAAATAAATTAATATTTTTTTTTAAAAATAAATTTTTTTTTCTTTTAAAAAATGATATTTGATCTAAAAAAAAAAAAATTTAATAAATAAATAAATATATATATAGTTAAATAGTTCTTTTATAAAAAAAACCAAATAACCTAATAAATAATAATTAAGATAATATAAGATACAAAAATAAATAAATAAATAAATTAAAGAAAAAAATTTAAAAAAAAAAAATATTTTTAAAAAAAAAAAAAAAAAAAAAAAAAAAAATTGAAAAAAATAAAAAAAAATTAAAAATTGGTTTATAACAATTATATGAAAATTTTTTTTTGGGTAGTTTTTTTATTTATATTTTTTTTTTTATTTTAAAAATATAAATTTTTCTGATAATAACACCTTTGTAAACAGTTGTTATTATAATAGGGTCTTAGCTAAATTAAATGATTATTTTAAAAAAAAATCATGGTTTTCCATCATGTGTGTATAATTAACAGAGTACTCATCAGAAAATGATTTTAATAAACAATACTGTTATATGATTTATTTTTTAAATGAAAATTGTATATAAATAAAAACAATTTTTAAATAAAATTAATATTTGAAAAAAGTAATTATAAATCAATAAAAAAAAAAAAAAAAAAAAAAAAAAAAAAAAAAAAAAATCAAAAATATAAAAATTAAAAATATTAAATTAAAAATAAACCTAAAAACTAAAACCAAAAAAGGTTTTTTTTTTTTATTTTTTATTTTTTATTTTTTTTTTGTGTAATAATTAATTTAATTAAATTTAATTATTCTTTATTTTTAAGTTTAAAGATCTACCAAGTTTTAAACGTTCTTGAGATTTGAAAGGGATTAGTTGTGATTTAGCCAAATAAAGTGAGTTCATTTTATTTGAACGAATTCTTCGTTTTTCATTGGTTTCGATTAATAATTTACAGAGAGTGGAGTATAATTTTGATAATTTTTCTTTACGTTGTTTGATTCTTTTTTCTTTTGATTTCATTAATTTTTCTTGTTGGTTATTATATTTATTTTCTATTGGAGCTAAATTTTTGTCGATTCTTAATTTAATATCAATTCTTTTTTGTGCTGTTAATTCTTCGCTGTTATACCATTCTACAAAATTAATTTCATTTGAATCCGGTTGCTGTTGTTGAATTTGTTGTTTATTTTTTTGATTTTTTAATAAATCTTCACCAAAAAATAATTGGATGATTGTTTGGTCTTCTAAAATATTTGAAATAATCTTTCTATTTTCTTCACTGCTTGAACCCATTACATTTCTTAATACGTGATAAATTTCGATTTGTCTTTCTGGGTCATTATCTGACACTACGAAGAATTGTAATAAATATAAAATACCACCGGAATCTCTAAAAGCTTTTTGATCAGCAACACACTCGAAATCAAATTTACTAAAGAAATCTAATCTGGTGTTAGGGTTGCCCAATAATAAAATGATTAAATTGTCTCTTATCTCTACAAGACCATTCGATTTCATTTGTAGTCTAATGGCTGGGGTATTTTGGAATGCTATTGAATTGATTAAGTCGATAATCTTCATTGAGATATGATAAGGAACGGTCATATCATCCAATGTCTTGAGGAATTGCACGAGGTTTTTAATGAGTTCGGTAGAGTTATCTGGTAATACATAAGAATTTTGTTCGAAATAGTCGATTACAGATTCGATGATATCAAAGTAAAATTCTTCATTATCAATCCAAATCTCTTTGAATTTCAAAATTTTAGACTGTTTCTTTGTTAATTCGTGTAAAATGAGTTTTTTACAAATTGAAAGTAGTTTGATATAGGAGTTGTTAGATTTTGCGAGGAATAGCTCCAAGTTATCAATATTTAATTGTTGTTGTTGTAGTTGTTGCAATAGTTGTTGTTGATTACCGAGTTGATTAATAAAGTTAAGGTTGTTTAGGTTGCTTGTAATTGAGTAGTTTGAATAGTCTAATAGTTGATGTACCCATTCGTACCAGGATTGGTTCCACAAGATATCCATATTTACATTATCTAATATTTGCTCGATCTCAGTGTAGATGGTGGATTGAATTTTTTGGATATCTTCAAAGCCGATAATTTCACTTGATAAATAGAAATAGTTATGGAAAATGGTAAGAATTGAATGTAAAGCTTCTGGGTATACTATATTTTTTTCATTTGATTCACCAACTTGATAGGCACTGTCTTGATGTGATGCTGAGGATGAGGAGGATGACATATCATCAATAGTAGTAGTTTCAGCACTAATATCACCAGTGGTTGGACCGCTGCCACTTGAAGAGGCTAAATTAGATAAATTATCAGAACTCTTATCTCTTGAAAAGAAATCTAAAGAGATCCAGCTAAGCGATCTTTGTTTAGTTTCGGGTACACATTTTGGATCAAATTTATATTCGTCAACCATTAAGTGTAAAAGAGTTCTGCAAATTGGTACGGATGGAATTGAATAGGTTGAAATTAATGATGCTAATACATCAAAGCCACCGTTTTTTCTAAAAAGTAATGCTGCTTTGGTATTTGAATGTAATAATAAACCAACTAATTTGAGGGAGAGAATATGAATCTCTTCACTTGGAATTTCAATCAAAGAGAAAACAACATTGAATCCACCAATTGAACGTAAATGCTCTAAAAGTGATGGGCACTTTCTCATTTCTTCGTATACTAGTTCTAAAATTTTAGCTTTTGTTGAAATCTTTTCATAGTAACCTTCCTTGTTTTCAATTAAAAATTCAAATATTGATTCAACATCTTCAATACTAATAGATGGTAGTATCTTTTTAATTATACCCAATAAAAATGTGCTATCTGTTGATAGTTTTACTGAAATATCTAATAAATAATTTAATCTTGAAACTGAAACACTATTTAAAAATGATGGTAAGCTATTTGGGTTCTGAATCGATGATGATGAGGAGTTAATATTTGAATTGTTATTATTATTGTTTGATTGTGGTGATTGATCTGAGGCAATTTCTGATAAGTTACTATTGCTTAAACTATTTGTTAAACCACTACTATTGATATTACCACTATTGGCACCTGCGCTATCTTCAGTTGAATGAGTTACCCAAAGTTTTAATGTATCTGGTGAGTTATGTAACATTGTGTTTAAATATTTTAATATGTGAAGTTGTAATTCCTCGGAGCAGAAATGAAGTAAATCTAAAATTAAGGTTAGGCAATCGTTACTCCACAAGTGTTTTGGGTCTGATGTGTTGCCCATACCATCTAATAAAAGGTCAAACAAAATTTCGAATGTTTCCATAGATAGTTCAGAATGTGGACTTGCAACATTTGAAACGGAGAACCTATTTAAAAGATAATAGAGGATTGCAAAGCCATTAATCTCTCTAAATTGACTTTTATTTGATTCACTCTTATGTAATAGACCAGAAAGAATTCTAAGACCAGCAACTTGTTGGGCAGGTTCCATATCGAGGAATGGGAAGCATAAATGAATACCACCTACTTCTTTAATTACATCCTTAAGACATCTTGTTTGATGAACATTGACACCACCAAGGAATTCAATAACTGCACCCTGAGTTTCATTTGGGACTCTAAATAATTCGGTATTTGGTAATGATGAATTATTTATATTATTTATATTACTATTAGTATTTTCTTCAATATTATCACCAATTGATAATGTTCTATTAATTGAAGGCGAAGAGTTTGGTGATTGATTATTACCACTGTTGTTATTTAATACTGGAGTTAATGTTGATGTTGAGGTATTAATACTATTGCTATTGTTTGTATTTTGTACTGGGGATGTTGTAATGGTTGGTGGTTGTTGGAAAAAGTTATCACCAGACATTGAAAAACTTAATGGTGTGATTGGTTCTTGTGGTATTGATGATGATGATGATAACGATGGTATTACTGGAAGTGGGGCAGGTTTAATAACTAAAAATTCTTTATTATCAACACCCAAAGATTTATAAGTACTATTATAAAGATTACCTCTTGAGCAAACTTTATGACAGGCGTGTGCATCCCAAACACCTTCAAAGAAATGAATTGTACCCATTTGGCCACAGAAATAACCTCTTTCAGCAATATTTTCAACTGGACTACTTTGTGTTTTAATATTTGCAATATTGGATGGAGTGTGGTCATTATTGTAAACTCTTTTGCCAATCCAGCCTGAAATTGGTTTGTCTTTGGTAATTAGTTTTGGATAGTTAAGAGTACTATAGTTTTGAATGAATTTGCCATTAACAAATAATGTTATTTTTTGTTTTGAGTGGGTAATTACAATATGATTCCAATTACCACATTCATTAAAAGCAAATTTATCAAATGAGAAGGTTTCTGGTGGTGATGGATAGTTACGGGTTTGAATGCATAGATATCTTTTGGTTTCGGATGATTTGCCCAATGGTAATGATTTGAAAAAGACCTCAAAGATATTATTATGATTTTGATCTTGCCAACTAAATAAACCTGATTCATCGCTAAGGAAATAGTTGGTTTTAATCCAGCAGCTAAAGGTATAACCACTTCTTGCACTTGGGAATTTGTCAATTGTACCAGTTTTAATACAACTATCAAAGCCATCAAAATTAAAGTATAATGGAGGTGCTTTTCTTTCAGTAAGTGTACCAATAATATAGAGAACTTGCATTTGTAATTCATATTTTCTATTTTTCTTTGATCCAGAATTGGTTAGACTTGGAGTGCTACCACTGTTTGAATAGTTTTGATATTGGAGTGTTGGGTGTGAGTCAATGGCTAATGTTGGTGAGCAAGCAAGATCGAATAAAAGTTTAACCTCGACTGGAGAGATATCATAAAGACCAAGAATGACAATAATACGACTATAGTATGATTGAAGTTCCTCTGGGCATTGGTGTGAGAGGTTTAAAAGGTATTTCAAACCTTGTGCAGAGCATAGCATCTTTTTGTTTTGAGGATTTGATTCTAAAATCTTCATGAGCAAAACGAGATTTAGCTGTTGTGATATTAATGGGCATTGTGGTAATAGATCGACCAGCATTAATGATGCATCTGGGGAACGAATTCTAGATTTACCTAAGAGTGTATAAGAGTAGATGGTTTCCTTTTCCTCTTCTAAACTACGTAAATGTGGATGTGATGAGGTTTTTGAGATTATTCCATTATCACTACTGTTATCGCCAATAACGGAGATGGGAGTTCTTGGTGATTGATGTGGCTCATTGGATATAGATTGATTAATTGAATCCAATGGTTGCTGTTGTTGTTGTTGACAAAAACCATAGAGGTCATCAAATGAACCAACCCATGAACCGATACTATTTCTTCTTGTATTTGTAAATAAATCTTTAAAGCTTGGAACTCTTACAATACCAACTCTTTGTTGTAAGTGGTGGGACATTGGTAAAGGTGTTTGTTGTAGTTGTAATTGTTGTTGTAAATAAAGCTGATACTGTTGATATAGATGTGAATTTTGGTTACCATTCATAGAGTTTGATAATGAAACACTTTGAGGAGTAGTGGATGGACTGGAGATTGGTGAGTCTTTAGAGAATTCAACATTATCATCACCGAGATTAATTTCATCACCATACAACTGTTGTTGCTGTTGTAATTGTTGAAGTTGGTATTGTTGATAGATTTGTTGTTGCTGTTGTAATTGTAATTGCAATTGTTGTTGTTGGTATAGCTGGAGCTGTTGTTGGTTATAAAGTTGTTGTTGATTTTGAAGATGTTGTTGATGAAGTGCGTGTTGGTGACCATGGTGTGGTTGTGATGAAGAAGAGTTGTAGGATTGAATATCATAGTGTTTCTTTGAATGAGGTAAAAGGAAAGTATATTGTGGCTGTGGTGATAGAATATTTGAAATGATTTTATAGAGAGTTGGCGAGAATAGTTCTTTTAGGTAATTGGTTTCATATCTAATTTGGACCTTTTTATTCATTGTTAGTTCGACCAATAATTGATATAAATAATCATCAATTTGAACACTAGTATTTTTGACCAAAGATGATAATGTCATGAAACCTAATTGATCAATAACACGTTTATTCTCTTCACAACCAAAACAAATTTCACAAATAGTTACTAAGCTTGCGTAAACTAATGATTGTGATTCGGTAGTTTTCTTCTTTTTGATTATATTGATTAATACATTCAATATACCCATCTCTTGGAATTTAATCTTTAATGGAACATCGTTTAATGAGTCAGCATGCATCATTTCGGCAATACAATAGCACATTGATTCTTTCTTTTGATCTGAAATATTATTATCTTCTAAAAGTTGAATTAGTGAATTTATATGGTTATATAAAATTTGATTCCAAAACTGTGAAGATCCAATAGGTTGTACAGAAGATGAGCCAGTGCCTGTGTTACACTGTTGGAGTTGCAAACTTGAACGAGAGATAACTCTACAAATGCTCCAAAAACATAAATCGTATACATCATTGTCTATGTTAACTTGTTTAACTAATTTTACAAATAATTGAAAACCATCATATTTTGTAATAAATTCATGGAATAAGGAATCTGATGAATAATGGATATACATTATGATAAGTTCTAAAATTAATAAAGCTTTTTCGGCTATAATTGATTGCTTTTCAATAAAATAATTTGAATTGATATGAATATCGATTGAATAAACTTCTTGTTGTTGTTGTTGTTGAATATGTTGTTCTTCTTCTAATTGAAGGTTCTTAAACTCTTCAGAAATAGAGTTAATTTGATTTACAAATTTCTCTAATAGATCTTCTTTGGTTGATACTAATGAACGATGGTAAACTGTGTCAGCTAATAAGGTGATTAATGATTGAAGTAATAAACAATTTAATGTGTGAGATGATTGAATTTCTTCTTTTTCTAATAATGATATATATTTATCAAATACAAAAGTGTCATATTTACTAAATAAGACACCAATATAAAGTATTAATTCGCTGGTTGCTAATAATAATTTTGTTAAATCTCTTTCTATATCTACAATTGATAAATTATTATTAATATTATTTTTACTATTATTATTGTTATTATTGGCACTATTATTATCAAAATTATTAGCTTCAATAATATTTTCATCAGTATTGCTATCATCGCCACTGCCTTCATCATTATTACTTCCATTATCACTGTTAACCTGTTCATTATCTCTATTTTTATTCTTCTCTTTTTCAATTTCTTTTTTCTAAAGTTTAAAAAAAAATTAGTATTAATGTGAATATATGAAATGGTAAAATAAAATGATGTGGAGTATATTAAAAAATATATTTTATTTTAAAATATATTAAATAAAATAATATAAATCCATTTATTTATTTAATTTTCTAGTAGTATTATTATTAAAAAAAATTTTAATAAAAATAGAAAATTAAATAAAATTTAATTTAGTATTTTAACTTCCTTCATGAACTATATCTTGAGTTCACAAAGTATGAGCCTTTAAAATACGGGTATATATTGAAGGAAATATTATAATAGTTACCTTTTCTAAAACTAATAATAGTTGAAATAGTTGATCTATACCATCAATACTCTTAATATTCACAATATTTAAAGGATTAATTGAAATTAAATCTTGTATGCATGTTAAAGATTGAAGCTGTACTTCAGTTTTAGTTGAGTTTAATAAAATTTGAAATAATAAATTGAAGGCGTCCATATTGGTAATACGTTTGGATTTATTGCCATCTAAAATTATAACAAAAAATAAATTGAAACAATCTTCCAAAAATTCTCTACCTTGAGCACTATTGAAATCATCCAAATTGTCAAAGAGATGAATTAAAATTGAATAACCATCCATATTTCTAAATTCAGTTTGATTCTTTTGATTGTTATATAAAAGCTTACTAATAGTCTCTAAAAGATCCAATTGAACAGTTTGAGCTGCTTCTTGAATGCTGTTGGTTAGGGATACTAATGCACCTTGAACCCTCATGAAATCTTTTAGTATTTCCTCTTCTGATATAATATTAGATGTTGTAGTGGTTGTTGTTGGAACAATATCCTCATCATTTAAATTTTCATTTAAACTGTTTGTTGGAGAAATACTAATCTGTTTATTTCCAGTAATTGGTATTGGTAAGCTTGATCTTCTTGTAATTAATGATGGTTCAGTTAATTGAATTGGATTTGTAATTGTTGTTGTTGTGGTGGTAGTGGTAGTAGTTGTAGTAGTGGTATTAATAATAGTATCTTGATTATCATTGTCACTATTCTCATCAACTTTATCTTTATTCTTTTCTTGATGTATTAACTCTATAAATGCAAGCTCCACCGATTCTTTTGAGGGGATAAATGAGCTTTCTTCTGCCATATCTCCTCTTCTAAAATATATTAAAAATTAAATTAATTAATAATAGTTATAAAAATACCCATAGTAAAAGCATCTTGTATTGTACTTACAATGGTTGCTCAATTAGTTGTTTAATTGGTAAATCACCATCATTTGGGGAGAAAACTTTTTGGAACTCACCAACAATTACTTTGAAACCTTCTGATACTACTGAGCCAATTTTTAATCTTGCAAATTCACTAATAGATGACATTGATAATGACTTTTTCATATTGTTTATCAACTCCTCTTCGGTTGGCAAAGTTTGTTTTATATCTAAAAAATGCTTGATTGTTTTTAAAATCTCTTGAGTTAATTCTTTATCGTTATGCATTAAAACCAATAGTTTTTTAAAACCCTCTAATCTACCAATCTCTAATTTGTTGTCGGTATTTTCACCCACTGCACTAATAACTCTTAACAATACCTTTTTATTTTCACTAGTGCTAAGTGTATCTAATAAAGTTAAAATTCTATTAATTAAATTTGGTGTTTCCTTAACCACTAATTTATATTTTTCATCCTATAATTCATTAAGAAATTAATAATTGGTTAATTTGTGAATTGCAAAATAATATAAAATATATACTTACATGTAAAATTAATTCGGCAACACCTAAAGATTTATTTATAATTTCAGCAATATAATCTAATGAGTCATCTTTGGTTATCTGTTGTTGTTGTTGTTGATTCTCTTTTGATTCTCTCTCGACCAAGTCTAAAAGAGATACTAAAATATCTGAGCAATCCCCAAAAAATTTATCTAAATCGAATGAATTAATTTGACCTGAATCAACCAATTCTTTATAGGTTTCTTGAAATGAATCTAAAAATTTATTTAATCTTAAAACCATAACATCTGAATCCCTAATTAGATAATAAAAAAAACTTGTTAAATAACTGTGCCAATATATTTGTGTTTGAAATTTTTTTAAGAACAAAAAGCGCCCAATTAAACCCAAGCCAATTATTCAAAAAAAAATTCATAATATAACACTAGTTTAAATGCAAAAGCTATAATCTAATATTTACTTTATATCTGCAACTTTTAAATAATCTGACCACAAAGCCCTTATTTTCCTTGCTGCCATATGCTTGGTGAATTTATTTTTAATATTTCTAAACGCCTCCATTTTTTTATATTCGTAATAGTCTTTTGAGGAGTAGTGAGACTATTAGTTTTCTTTATCTTTTTTTTTATTTACTATTTATAAAAGTAAAACTAATTTATAATATATTATTATTGTAACGGTGTGTATTATTTTAAAAATAAATAAATAAAAAAAGAAAAGAATTATACTAGATGATGATTAATTTCTGGATGCTCTATCCTATTAATTGATCGCCAAAAAGTAATTATATTTTTATCCAATAATCACTGTCTGCTGTTCGACATACATGTAGAATGAAAAAATAAAAATAAAAATTGGAAAAAAAAAATTTTAAATAAAAAATTAAAAAAAAAATAATTTTTAAAAAATTAAAAAAAATTTATTTTTATTTTTTTTCAAATTTTCAGCATAATGAAATAATTATTTTCAAAAATAGTATACCAATACTCTTTTATAGATGAATTTATTTATAATAATACACAATTAAATAATAAATATATGTCTTTTTTAAAAAAAAATCAAATATTATTTATGTTTATTTAAAAAAAAAAAAAAATCAAATAAAAAAAAAAAATAAAAAAAATAAAACTATTATTGGAATGCGTAATGATTTTGTTTTGGGAACAAATCCCAATACTAAAAAATCAAAAAAAAAAAAAATTTTAAAAAAAATTTTCGTAAAAATAAAATCTAAAAAAAAATTAAAATTTTTTGTGATATAAATAGCAAACAATTACTATTTATAATTATACTATATTTATTTATTGAATACATTGGGCTAAAGGTTCGCTTGCGGTAGTACCATTATCTGTTTTTGATGGATCACTCCCATTCTCTTTATTTTTTTTCTTTTTATCTTTTTTACCACCTTCTTTCTTTTTTTTTCCTTCTTTTCCATCTTGAACATCTTTCTTTTTCTTTTTGTTTGTTTCAATAACAAAATCTGCAATTTCAGTTTGTGGGAATTGATCCAATGGGACGCTTTGAAGATTAAATGTGGTATTTAATTGTTGTTGTAAGGTACCGATTGATCTTTGTAACTGTAGAATAGCTGCTTCGATATGTGGTTTAACTTCACCAAGAATTGGGAGTACTTTTGATAACCTAAACCATTTTCTTTGTCTTTTGGTTTGTTCCATCCATTCTTTTTTCTATTAAAAATTATAAATATTAAAATCTTTTATTTGTGTATGGATGTTTTTAATAATAATAATACTTACAGTGTTTTTTTTTTTACCAACAAATAAAGGGAAATAGGTAATATTTACACCTTTGTTATGATCAGCTAAAGTGATTGGGGATAATTGATGAAGAATTTTACCTTTAATACCAGATTCCTCAAAAGTTTCTCTTTTTGCTGCCTTTTTATTTGATTCGGATTTCTTTATTGAACCTTTTGGAAATACCCAATTCATACCGCTTGTACCAGATGTTACTAACATAATTTGAATATCGTCTTGTGTAATTAATGAGTTTGTTGAGTTTTCATCTTTTTTAATTCTAATTGGAATACATCCTGCTTGGTCATTATAGTTTTGAGATAAATAATTACAATTCATCATTTTTTATTTATTTATTATTGTATTATATTTGTTGTATTAATAGTATTTTGTAAATATTTTAAGTATATTTTATGTGTGAGATTTTATGATAACGAGATATTTTTTTTCTATATATCAAGTTTTCTTTTTATTATTATAATATTTATTATTATTATAAAATTATTGTAATAAATTAAATATATAAATGAAAAATTTTTAAAAAAAATAATTAAATTAAATTTAAAAAATTTTAAAAAAAATAAAAAAATAAAATTTAAAAAAAAATAAAAATTGGTGTAACAGATAGATTTCTTTTTAAATAAATAGTTAAATGAATTGTGGTGAAATTAAAAAAAGATAAATAAAAAGAAAAAAACCATATATATGTATATAATGTGTGTGGTGTTATTAATGAATAAAAATTGAAAATAAAAAGATGGATAAAAACATAAAAGTAATAATCAAATAAGATTGATTCTTTGTTTTCTCCACTCGCTCTATGCTTAATAAAAAATATTAAAAAAAAAAAAAAATTAAAAAATTATTTTAAAAAATATAATTAAAAAAATATATTTTAGAAAAATAATTTAAAATTTTTTTTTAATATTTCAGCCAGTGTCATTTTTGACATAAAAGTGACATTTTTTGGTGCAATGGTTGAATTGTTTTCAATGGGAAAAATTAAAATTTTTATAAATTAGTTTTTTTAAATTAATACACCCAAAAATACAAAAAAAAAAAGTTAATAAAAATTTTAATTTATTTTAATTTTATTTTTTTATTTTTAATTAGTTTTTTTTTTTAAAATTTTTTTTTTATTTTAATTATTATAATTATATACAAAACAAAGACTATTATATTTTCAAAAAAAGAGGATAAGCCTATGTAATAACATTTTAGTAAAATTAAAAAAAAGTATTATAATAATTATATTGGATATAAACACAAAAAAAAAATAAAAAAAACAATCTCGTCATTAATAAACTATAAGTTAAAAGAATTTTATTTTTAAGAAAACTAAACAAAGTTTAAATTTGTATATATATTTTAATTAAATTATTAAAAAAAAAAATATATACATATATCTTAAAATTATAAATAAAATAATTTCATATAACACCCGATTACCTCAAATACTAAATATTTAAATAATAATAATTATTTCAAATTCTTTTAAATAATAATTCAGTTTAAAATTTAAATTAATATTAAAATCCATATTTAAATCAAATTAAATAATTATTTAAATTATTAAAATTATTAAAATTTTTTTTTTAAAAAATAAAAATTCAAATTAAATTCATTTTAAAAAAAAAATTAACAAGAAATAAAAATAATAATAATTAAATAAATAATTTAATATATAAATTAATAAATAATTAAATTAGTAAAAAAAAATAATAAAAAAATGTCTTCAGTCAGCGATTATTTAGATGTTCAAATGGAAAATTTAATTCCATCATTAAGATACTTTAAAAACCATTTCTTTGGTTCTCCACAAACACCAAAAAAGCATATAATAATAGACGAAAACAACAGTAATAATAACAAATGCCATTCCCAAGCAAACGAAAATAAACCAACAGCTACTCGTCGTAGCTCAATAATAGTTTAAATGCAATTAATATAAATACATACAAATACAAAGAGATTAAAATAACAATAAAACTCCAAAGCGCCAAGTACTCGAATACATTTCCTAATTTTTTAAATATCTTTTTAAATAAAATTTATTTATAGTTTATTTAAAAACTATCCAAACTTTACGATACAAATTTGTATCGTTTCTAAAATCAAACCAATATAAATATAATTTTTGTTTTTTCTTTATTTTTATTTATTTTTTTTATTTCGTTTATTTTTTTATTTCTTTTTTTTT